CCATTACAATATATTCAATATTCAAATACGAAACTTGAATAAAAATCGTGTTAATAATGTAGCTAATGTAGGCAACATTATATCGGGGCTATACAAAGACCTGGACTTGAATGGACAATTTTCTGTCACAGGCTGTAGCATGGTACAATAAAGAGAAGGTAGGCCAACTTGTAATGTCAGAATTAGTATCAAAACAATAAAAATCAAACAACTTGTTGCATTTATTTTGAATAAATAATTGAAATCCGCGATAACTGAATGAAATGTCAACACTTCTTTTCAAAATCATGTACTATATATATTTCTAAAGTATTATTTCGCTACAAAAACTCTAGATTTTGTCGATGCATACGTTGAAATAAACATTTTGAAAACACCCGAATTTGAATGTTTTCTGAACAATTTTATTGTTATTGAAAAGAAAACACATACATAAACAAATAAAGATGACATATTAAGCCAAGAAAATAAAAAAACTAAAATCATATGATTTCATAGCCCTACCTTGATATCATTGTACCATTGGCTGTAGTACCTATTACGAATTTCAAATAAGAAATTTCAGACAATTTCGGTGAATATTGTACCTAAAATCGTAAAAATACCGCATACAGGGAGGTACTGATATATGGGGCCTTTACAAAGACCTGGACCTGGGGCTGGATTCTTGTTCTATAAAAATATGAAACGAAAAAAATATTTTCTTTATAAATTTTTATACCCTACAACACTATGTGTTGGGGGTATTATAAGTTTGATTGGGCCAAAAATTATGTAACACCACGAAATATTGATTTCCCACATAGGAAAGTATATATGGATCTTCCTATCTCGCCGAGCTGAGTCGATCTAGCTATGTATGTCCGTCCGTCCGTCTGTCCGTCTGTCCATGTTAATTTGTAATCACTCTACAGGTCGCAATTATGGCCCGATCTTCACGAAATTTAGAATGGAGGTGGGGCTAGGGTCAGAATAGAACCCTATTTCTTTTGGAGATGTTCGCCAAATTTTTAGGGGTTGAAATGGACCAAATACTGAAAAAATGTCTGATTTTGCAGAAGCTATACAGGTCGCAATTATAGACCAATCGACGAATTTCGCATGTAGCTAGAGTTTAGGGCGGGGAAGAAGCCTACCAATTTGGGGGGTCATCGGATAATATTTAGCGGGTAAAATAGGCCATATCTTTTTTGTTGAAAAAATTCAAAAATTTTCATTAAACCGCGAATATTTTAAATCTCGGCGAAATCACAAAGCAATGACAAGGTTACTTCTGATCTTTACATTGATGTTAAGATCCAAAAATTCGAATATATATAGCAAATATATGCGATATATATGTCTATCAAAGAAGATATGCTTGGAAGATCTATTTTATGTCGAGAACGGCTGAACTGATTTCGACAGTTCTCATTAATTCAGAATGGCCTCTTGGCAGAAAGAAAAAACGTCTAAAAAATCGCATAAAAATATCTCTCTAAAGATGAAAATATTGCTTTTGTAATATTTTCTCATATTTTTTCAATTTTGTCATATTTTTGGCATATTTTCATTTTGAATTAAACATTTGGTAATATTTCTACAGCTAACAAAACTAAGTAGTTAGGATATCAGGATATCATATACAGATCGCATTTATGGCCCGATCCTAACAAAATTTTGCATGGGGATAAGATGAGGGTCAGAATAGAAGCCTACTCTTTTTTGAGATGATCGCCATATATTTAGGGGTTGAAATGGACCAAAAAACTGCAAAATTGTCAGCAGGTCGTAATTATCGCCCGATCCTCACGCACATTTGAATGGGGGTTACCGGACATTGCAAAAGCCAAGCAGTTTTGGATGGCCATCCAAAAATATTCAATGCGCGAAATAGTTTGCCAACTTTTGTAGACTAAATACGAAAATGTCCATTCCAGTGACTCTTTGGAGAATTCTCAAATACAGGAAAGACGCATTTCTGACTATTTCGTCAACGCTGATTTCGTTGAAGAATATAGTCAAATGTCTGTAACTCATATAGATGCGTTTCAGTCAAAAACCAATAATAAATGTTAATCTTTTGCCACTTCTGAGAGATTATAGGTCTTTGGGAAATATTGGTTCCAGATCTAGGAAGACCATTTACGTGCAACATCTACCTATAAATTGGAAATGAGCAAATTAGTTTAAGTTGCTATTATTCGAAAATTAGAGAACGAAACCTGATGGTTTTCTTTTATTATTTGTTACAATATCTTGTGGAATTCTTTCGAGTATCTTGCCTATATAAACTGTATCGTTTATTTTAGTGTTGTAGGGTATTCAACGATCGGCCCCGCTCGACTGTAGCCTTTGCTTACTTGTTTCATTTGACATTTCTTTCCTTCATAAAAGTTTTCATTTAACATTTTCACAGAACAAGAATTGAGGCTCTGCATAGACAATTTTCTGACATAGACTGTCCTACCTATTTTAAATGCGAAATTTGAAATAACTCCGGTGAATAATGTCCCTAAAATCATCAAAATATCGAATATCGGGGGGTACCGTTGTATGTGGGCAATACCATATCGTGAACCAATATATACACTTCTCTTCCAGCGGTTAGAAAGATCTTCTAGTATGGATTTTTTAATCAATTCCATTGAAAATGCAGCTAAAATCATCAAAATACCGAATATCGGGAGGTACCGTTATATGGGGATATACGAAATCGTGGACATATATAGACAATACTCTTCCAGGGAGTAAATTACTCAGAAGGAACTCCTTTGTGGATTTTCAGACAATTTCATTGAAAAGTTTGACTACAATCATTAAAATACCGAATATCTGAGGGCACCGTTATATGGGAGCTATACGATATCGTGGATCTTCAAACTTCACTTGCATGCAGACAAAAGACTTATCTGTGTAAAATTTAAGCTTCCTATTTTTAATCGTTTTGATTAAAATAGACAGACGGGCGGGCGGACAGGGCTAAATCTTAGAATTATACGCTGATCAAGATTATATATACTCTGTTATGTCTAAAATTATTATTTTAGGGGGTAACTTCGTACTCCTTCGGTAATTGTGACATGCTCCATACCATAGCATAATTACAGAAGGTAGAACAAAGCTATCCCCTAATTACAATTTTTTTTCTTTTGGTGCCCTTATTCTGTCAAAACATATACGCATTTTGTGTATTTGTGTGTAATGTTTTGAATAAAAAATATAATAATTGAAATTATTTCAAGTTTGGTTGCAAAATAAATGCAAATTTTCGACGAAATGGGTAACAAATTGTACAATTTTGTGATAAAACTGTATTGTTCTACTATTTTAGATTCAATCTTGTGGAATAACCCTGCAATTCCATTCTAGTTTCGCGGTTTTTCCCAATATAAGAATTAAAAATTAAAAGTAAACAAGGCCAACTGTTGCAAAAGTTTATTTGACACCATGGTAGAAGAATATAGGTAGATGCATCAACGCTTGGGAACATTGATATGTCAACATTTTAAAAATGTTTTATCAAAAATAAGTATATTTTCAAATGTTTTCTTATGCGACGTAAATCGGTGGTTGTTATAATATGAATTTTTCAACAATGTTTACAAATTTCAATAATTTTTCATTCAACTTTTTCAAATCAAAAATCGATTTGACATTGTCCCAGCAGCTGTGAGACTATACCATGATTTGAGACTCTGTGTTTGAGACTCAAACACAGAGCTGATTTTTTCTAGTTTCTTTGAAGTTGAGCAACAGTTCTTATTAAAGCATGCTCCATACTAGGTATAGTGGAGGGTATAAAAATCTGTTTTGTTTTTTTAACGTTAAATCCTATTTTTTATGATATGATGATAGTTATAGCTGATAATTATACATAAGCAGCTTGCCGTTATGGCTAGGCATTCTAATGTCAAATTTTAAAGAACAACGACGGTAGGATTTTTGTGATATGTCACAAAAGATGTCATGCGAAGACTTCAATCTGTTTATGTACTCCCAGCTTGATAGGAGCAAAATTATGAATTATAGGAATTTTTCATGGTACAATGAAATAAAGGTAACCTCATTTCAAATTAGCATTCCCAACTCTGCATTTTCTGTAATTTACCATGTCAAAATTTAAGGCTTAAAAAACAGTTCCCATCTCTGATTTTGTGTGTATACAATGGATTTATGAATACAGATTTTGATAATGAGATGTCAAATGTTTAAATTTAAAAAAATAGTAAATATATGACTACATGACTTTACCTTCCTAATTCTTCCATGGAATTTTTATTCAATTCAATAATTGAAATAGCAATCGACACTAGCATTACGTTGTTCAATGGTACTTGTTGTAGATTCGTTCCAACCGTGGTAGAAGAATACAGGTAGTCGCAGCGACACAGCTGCTGGAACAATGAAGTGAAAGCTGTTAATATGAATTAAGTTTCAACAAAATTTGAAAATTTTCAAAGTTATTTTCTTTTTTACTCAAAGTAATATGTATACATACAAAATCTGTACATATGTATATGCCTTTACATTACAAGACTACCGAAAGAAACAATATTATTCAGGCAATTAAATGCCAGAACCTGCAAGAATCTACTAGTTTTGCCATTTTTTCCGATATCATAAAGAGAAATCGGTTATCTTTGTTAAAATTTTTACATTTTTGCACCTCTAAAACAGATGAATTAATTCAACTAAACCAAAAAGATGTTTTTAAAAATGAAGTTAAAAAATAAATCACACTGTACTCTCCTCGTGGATGGTGTTCTTGTTAATTTCAACAAAATTTAAAACAGGCGCGCTTCAATATAGTTGTCAGCAAAAACAGCTGAATGCCACCTAATCAAAAGTGTTTTGCACTAAATGGTTGCGTCTGTTTAGTCTTGCGTGCACACTTATACAAAAACATTAAACAGATTTATCGTACAACACATTAATCGCAAATATATTTTAAAACCATAAGGTATCCTTTTACATGTGATAGGTTTAATTGTCATATGTTTTTGGCTTAATATTTTAAAGAATCGGTGGAGAATTTGGAATACGAAATTTGAAATAGTTTGATATCTTATGCTACATTTAAATTGTCTATACTTGACATTTATTTATTTATGCCCACTATTAAGTTGATAGTCCAATTCGTTGTTATCCAGTTTTCTCACACGTTCGTCGGATTGCAGGTTTTCCATGTTATTTGTTTGTTAGCATGTTGATGTTTTTTTCTGCTGCTGCTATCGTGCAAATACAATACACAAGAGAAATTCCGAACCCTGCCACATAGAAAAAATCAAGAACCCCAACAAACGCTGGCTGCATCAAATTCTGAAAAACGCAAAGAAAAACTAAATACCTAACTTAAAAAGTGAAAAAGAGGAAAATTGCGTGACGGATATTATAAAACGGACGAAAAACTGAGCACTATACAAATGGAAGTTAACTTAGAGGCAGTCAAAGATGATGGGAATACACAGAAAGGTAGCAAAAACGAAGTGGATAAATCATTGGCCGAAATGCAAGTTTTACCAACTAGTGCTGCGGTGACGGCAATAAATCAAGGCGATTCAACGGCAACGACAGTTACAACTGTGCTATCTTCAAAAGCTCTCAAGAGATGTTTAAGCGTACCAATACCGCGATCGCAACCCCCTTCTAGGGAAGTTTCACCTGTTCCAGTATTCAATATATTTGCTCCTCGAGGACGAAGGTATTCAGCAAGTTACAGCCCAGCCAGATGTGCTGGATCTGGGGGAGCAGCAACAAGCGCTGGCAACAATAATGGAGGCGGACAATCAACACGATGTGTTACACCTCGCATATCACAACTGAGACAGGAAGAATGCGTGGATGGGTTGAATTCAAGGGAAGTTAATCATGAACGAGAGGTACATAGTGCCATACAAATATCACAAAGCTGGGAAGATCTTTCTTTGGTTGCGGAGAACTGGTCATGCAAGTCATCAGATGAGTTAACCAATTCTTTACAAGTTGTTGTTGGGGGTACATTACCTAATAACGGCAGTGGAGGTTGCTCCAGCCCAAGTCCTACAAACAATCGTGCCAATTTACGTCTTCCATATGGCTTATCGCCATCTCCAACTCGACGTAGTACCTTTGCCACACGACGCTCAATGTCTCCCATAGCTATCAGACCATCACAGTTAGGTCCAGTCAAACGAAAATTTGAATTGGATGAACAGCCATCATCCATTGGTAGTACTTGGAATTCCCTTTACTCTCAGCCTCCAAGCAAGAAAATGTTTTGCGAAAGTCGGGGGTCGTCTCCAATATGCCAATCGCCTTCAAGTTCGGTGTGCCCAAGTCCTGACTCGGGCACTGGTACATATGATGGACGCATCACACCGAAATTATTGATTTCAAAATTATATACACACAATCAAAATTCCTGCATGAACCAAAACAACTCTGCCTGTTCGTCGCCAATGTCGTCTTCATCGTTCGGTGGAGATGTAATCGAATCCGGCTCGACATTAGCTAGCAATTCATGCTCTTCGTCATCATCCTCTTCATCGAATGCCCTATCAGGAGCATCTAATAACAGTGAACCCATGTCTGTGGGTAACAGCAACAGTTTAGACGAAGGCATTTCTATTACTGAAAAACTTCTACGCGAATCCTTGCCACCCGTCATACAGGATGAATCTACCCTAATGGATATTATAAAACCACATGCAACTGCATTAGATGAATGTTGCAACAAAATGATAATTGAAACCACAACAAATGCATTGGAAGATAAAATGTAAGCTTTCTCCCTGTGGATCGTACCTACCAACCAACATGGAGTATTTGAAATGACACAAAATCAGAAATACTAGATATTAGTTAGTTATTTACTTATTAAACCATTTTTTGAAATGCTTTTTAGGAAATATTCAAGTGAAACTTTACCGTATAAGCAATAGTAACCATGCTTAAACGTCCTTACACGTGTCTGTCTGTAGAAACTTGTTAACAAAATTGTCTTTAACATGGTAAATTTATTATTTGTCTACGGACGGATGTTTGAAACCAAGGTTCAAACTATTGCGCTATAAGCCTTACTTAATCCCTTTTCTGCTTATCTACAGATTTGCAAAATCCACCATACATTAAAGAATGTTCGAATAACTTTTTGATTTGAAATTTCAGTCTGTGTATATTACTCTAGTATTCTATAAAAAATTGTACCTATTTGAAATTTGTTCGAAATTTTCAGCAGATTGCATTCTTTATGTGTACAACATTAAATCAAAGATGATTCATTTAATATTCCGTTGCCATTATTCATCCGTATTTAAATAAAATATATATATATCACTATATATATCATATTTATGTATAAATTATGTATAACTCTTTTTAGTTGTATTTAACCATATGTTTAAAATTTGATGTAGTTTTCAGATGTATTAAACGCGAATACGCATCGTTCTCATCTCATCCCTCCTTTCCTTCCTATCATCAAATTATTATAATAATTATTTTTGCACATCAAGCTTATGTTTTGTGTAACGTTTGTTCTAATCGATAAATTTTACTCTTATCTAAGATAATTAAAAAAACAATTTGTTTTTCTTTGTATAATAATGCCTATTATTTAGATGTTTTAATGTACCCCGTGCGCTTTAATAATATTGATAATGGTTAAGTTTATGGTCCCTATATTTAGAAACTATTTCGAATTAGTAAAAAAATAAAATTTGTGAAAATATTCAAAACAATAAAACGATGTTGGTTTATGTTTGATATTTTAAGATATTGTATTTATATTATCCTAGGTCTTACATTTTCGCAGTAAATGATATGGGTAAATTAAAGTGTACGCAAAAGTAAGTCCGCAACAGATTTTGACCATTAGACCTATCCGGGACTTACATCGACCGGGAACTTTTATTAGAAATTTTTTACAGTTCAATCAGTAATAAAGAAGCTTTGGATACCAATAATACATTACAAAGTTCTCTAGTTTATTAAATACTAGCTGGCCCGGTCCGCGTTGCCGGCCCGTACTTTTAGTCAATAATGCTAATTTTTTAAAGCCAAATTGAACACAGATCTGAATTATGTAAGCGGCACATTTTTTTCTTATAAGTAATTTCTAAATAGAAATAAACATTCATTGCAAAAATTATAATAGATAATCAAGCTATTTTGAATAGGCTGATCTTATTTTTCAGCCTATTAAAAACGTATATGATATAGAACATCTATAAAGCCCCATGTGGAAACTCGGCTCAATTTGTGGTATTGTAAAGAGCCTAGCAACATTTTCCATTCAAATGAGATGTGATTTGGGATTTGTTTTTACAACGTTTAGAATATCGAGAAATTAATAATCGTCATTTTTTTCATGTTTCTGCCACAATTTCCGACTGAAAGCGTTTGAGATTTCGGAGTTTATGTCATATAGACGTACATGCCAAATCTACGTTCCCAACCAATATTCTCTTGGGTGTTACAAATTGAATAGAATACAAAATTTTATATTCTGACAACACATTGTTTGGGAAAGTGGACTTGGAGGTACACTAATATTGCAACTATACTCAAGAGAAGAATGCCTATAAGGACAATTATCTGTAAGATGATTCTCCACCCTAGAGTAGCCTAAATACAATTTTTTTAGCCAAATCAATTGATGAATGTGGTCAAGACCAAGATGGACCCTACTCCTTAGAAACAAACATGTCAAATAAAAATGTCCAAGACCCCGAAAATTGCTTAAATCATTTGATGGTTATACCAAAATGTGATCATTTTTTGCGAGGATGGTTTCTTATCAAATTACCAACCTTTATTGAAATTAGCATGCAAAATATGGTTAAAATGTAAACTAAGTATTACATTATTATCATTACCTGCAAAAGCGATGAAAGTTTAGGAAAAATTTCTGGAAGGATATAAATCATTTTATTACTAAATGTTGAACTCGCTCTTCCATTTTGCACCCTTTATATTCGATATTTCACTGATTGCAGTCCCAATGAATTGCATTTTTTGTGTTCTCATTGGACGGATTATTGTCATATGAAATAAGCAGGATGTACGTAGGTCACTCGTTTCATTATTAATACTATTCATTCAGAAGTCAAAATAATAAAAAATGTTCGCTTCAATATAGTATGTCAAATTTGAAAAAATCCACATCAAATAGATTTTTTTTCATTCGCACTTTTTTGGCATATTTTACTGCGATTTTTTTGACCGGATACCATTCCAAAATTGTATGAATTGTCAAAATCCGTCAAGCCGTTCCTTAGTTATAAGCGTAATACCAAACATAACTTTCTTTTATATTGTGAAAATAATTCCTTATTTTCAAAAATGGAAAAAAAATCATGCAAAATAAAATATTGCTATTGTACATTTCAAAAGTCAAAATGAAAATCTTAATATATCACATTTTTACGCGATTTTCTCGGATTTTGTCCTTTTTGGCCAGGAATTCTGAATTTGTATGAATCGTTAAAATCAGTCCAGCGGTTTTTAAGTTATAAGCGTAGTAACTAACACACCTTTCTTTTATATATATAGATAATTGCATATAACTTGACATAAAATAGTCATGGCGGTGGTATGTAGGTCCAATAAGTTTTTTTTTTCATATCCTTTTTTTGTATATTGTGATATGCGAATTCTTCTTAGGTGACTAATAGGAGTTTAAAGCGATAGTTAATAGATGTATGTCTATTGATATTGACGAAATGTCTTTTACGTACGTACAAAAAAAAACTTATTGGTGACTTATGGAGTTAGGACGTGGAAAGGACTATGAAAAGAAATAATATAGAAAAATTAAAATGTTATAGATTTATTTAGATTTAGAAAGACGCCCCTTTTACGCGATGCAAATCATTCCTTAAGCGAATTTACAGAACAGTGGCATAATAATCCTTACTCTATTTTTCGAAATCGGCGTTTGTTGCGAATCGGTGTTTTTTGTATTCTGTAAGAAAATGTGAAAGCCTCTTTTCACAAAGATAGTCATTGGACGAGCGATCTCAATCTTGAAAGTTTTATTCAATTCCATCATGTAAGTTTTCCAACATCAAGATTCAATTCCATTCCATAAGTTTTAATGAGTTCGAACATGCAAGTTTAAGTTGCATTAAAGAGCTCGAAACATTACAATGCAGAACTTAAAACTTGTACTATCGCAATTACAAAATTTTCATTTAACTATAATCTACTCGCTGCAGAGAATTCTTCCATTTTGGATCCTTCTAAAAATATATAGACCAAGAGCAGATTGACTTCAGTATTCATTTTGAAAAAGCTTAATGCCAGCATATAGTCCGGGACGACTTTGTGAGCCCACACTTTATAATTTATAATGCAAAAGTCAGGAAATACTAGTTAACCATTTTATCATCGTTTAATCTTGAAAAATTGTTATCACGAGTAACCATGTCAGCGGGAGATTTTTTATTTTTTTCTAATAAGTCTAGAACTTAAAGGGTAACCATCGGTAATATTGATTTGCAGGTGTTGTTCGTTTGTAAGACGATTCAAGGTTAAATAAACCTGTGTTGATTAAAAGATAATAGCAAAAAGACAACCTTTATCAGTGTAGAAATATACTAGGGGCAAGGGAGTATCGTAGTTTTTGAAAGAGCCATAACTCCCCATAATTCTAGCTGGATTTTTCCTGTGAATATTCTACCAAAGAGTTATTGAAAAACAACTCCTATAAAGAATAAAAATAGCGTCTATGGGTCTTTCACCAATAGATCATTTTGTCTATTACAAATAACACATTTGATATAGTTATTATCAAGATAAAACAGATAATTTAAGGAATAACATTAAACATTTCAAAAGACTTAAATCAAGGTAAATTTTCATACTACAGTAAGAAAAACGGACTCATGAAATTTTTTGTCAAAACGCCGAAAATAGTTTCTTATATATTAAATACATTCGTATAAGAAAAATAAAGAAATTGGCAGTATTTAATGACTTGCCTAAATACGTGGTCCACTGTTTTAGAATTATAGCCATTCTACGATTGGCGTTGACGTATTGAAATCAGCATGCGTTGAATTAATGTGATAAACCAAGGCACCATTTAGAATGGCGTTACACTTTGAAAAAATGTTGTTTTAGATTTTTTTAACGACTGTTCCCGAAAATGTACTACAATCTATTAAAACATGTTGTTAAATGCTGTAGTGGGATAAAGTACAATGATACCGAAAAACACTAACTACGACAACGTCAATCGTTATAATAGTTATGTCCGTGTACTTTTATATGTAGTAACATGCAAGGGAATATATAGAGACCGATAGTTCGCTTCATGATCTGGATCTATAGACATTTTGAGTGGGTTCGCCTATGTACGTCAGTCCATAAATCTTTCCCTGCATTCTTAAAAAATAAAGATCACATTTTATTTAGATGTATATGAAATTTTACAAAGTCAATTTGTTTGGCGTAGAATGAATCTTTCCCAATGTTCAGAATATATTGGCACTTTGAATGGGTTTGCCTATGTCCGTTAATACAATAATGTTTCCATGCATTTAAAAAAAAATATTGGTCACATTTTATGTCGAAGTGATATGAAATGAATGTTGCAGTCAATTTTTTTGGTGCAAGGACGAACCATGAACTCAGCTCTGTTTCAGGTCAACATTTTCGACGTATACAGAATTTATGTCTTCTTGGGCCCTTGTGTTACATCATTCCAAATAAAGAAAACACATTAATTTTGTATAGGTTTTGGTGGTCTTTGTTATCAATTTAGAACCTTTTATTAATCTTCAATATTTTCTTACGTTTGTATAACTTCTTTTTTGTTCAAAGTTTGCTTGTTCTATTACATTATATAAAGTGTTGTGAATATTACAATACATTTCTTAAAAGTAATAAAAAAATAGTATAAATTGTATATCATCAAGGGTACTTAATATTGCCAAAGGAAAATAAAGTGGAAAAAATGAGAACAACTTATATAAAAATCAAAGTCTGCTTGATTTAGTAATGAAGAAAAAAAATATTTATTAAGTATTATGTGGTAAATAGATACGATGATGTAAAGGTAGGTTTGTATGATGGATCAATATATATAAATATATATTTAGAGAAAACGTGGTAAGAAATGAATAAACCCATAAATGAAGTAAAGTTTTGGTTTTATTTTTGTTTGTTTTGTTATATATGTATCTATGTTTTATATAGTATATGTATATATGAGGTGGGTTTCTTCAATACGTTTTTAAAAATAAAAAAAAAACTTATTTTGAAGCACACTCTGCAATAGTAATAGAGAATTAGTAAACCGAGAAACTGGCTTTATAATTAAGGTATTGTTTTGTTTTATTAAATTTAATATTACAAACATTTTTAAACTAGACTGTAGCAAAAAAAAAAATAAAATAGTAATGTTGTGAAAAAGGAAATTAAGCCTGAATATATAGATGTGTGTTTGCGGGGTAATATGATGAAAAACAGTGTGTGGTTGAAAATGAAGTCTGTGGCTTGATGTACGTACTGCTGCTTTTAAAGTAACCGCAATGAGTTTGTTTTCTGGAATGGTAGTTGTTGTGTCTGTTGTTATTTGTCAATTTCAGAATATATAGACTACGGCGATAGAACGGGATTTCCATAAAAAACTATATGAAATCCACGTGTTTTGATAGTTCAATATATTAGTTTTATACATTTAGAATTTCCCTGTGTCTTTGAAGAACTATATTTTACATATGGATTTAATAGAGATGTATGAATGACTGATCTTTTGTTTAAGAATATATGATTGAATAACTTGTAGAAAAAAGAACGCTGAAAAAGAAAAGAAAATGGGTTAAAATAGCTGTAAATAAAATTTCTAACATTATGAATAGAATTCTGTTTCAATTGACACAAGCGGTGCTTTTTATAAATAGAAATTTGGAAGCTATTGATTGTTACTTATATACCACAGCTTTGAGAGAGTTGGTTATAATTTCATACGGATTGATTACAAAAACTGTATTGTGAATCCATGTCAGCATATTTTAAATCGATGTATTAGTAGCAAAGTAAAATTAGAAATACACCATTACATTGGAACATAACTATTGATGTCGACCCATAAAAATAAAATTACTTGAGAGAAAAATCATGCAGTTCTCATAATCAAACAAAATGACTTGATTTAGTAATTTTGAAAATTTATAATTTTACTTTGTTCTAAAAAGCTGTGTCTGATTTGTCCAAATTGTCCAGACTCTGCCCAATAATTTTTTTCAGTTACAATAAATGTCGATTTGGAGTATACGGTCCACTAGTTATCGCACAATAGCCAGAAAGGGTCATCACTTCAAAAAATCTCTACTATCATGATACAGAACCAAATTTTCCGATCCACAGATCACATCATAAATCAGGAAACCCTTATTTGGACATTATAATAGATAAAAATTTTTCTTAAGAAATTCGGTTCTATCAAATCAAACGTCGCCGAGATCGTAATGAACAAAAGCTATTATTTCAGCCCTTTAAGCACTAAAGAAGTCTTCATGCTCCAGACTTAGACCGCTAGAAGATGTGTCACCTCGTCAATGTTTCGCAAAGGACATTCTATTGAAAAATCATATATATTTATTAATGTTTTTAAATATTTAGACTTACCACAACGAACTAAACTATGATATCTTTTGCTTTAATTATTATGCTGCTCAATAGCATAATGCCGTTTATAATTCTAGAAAGACTTTCGGTTGCTTAGGTTTGTTGTTTGTGTTTTGTTTATAATTAAAAAATATTTTTTAATCTTTGCTTATGTTTTGTAGTTATGGAGTAAGGAAGTTGAATTAAAATTAATATGGTTGATGTCTGGGCTGACGTCCTGTCCCTCTTTGCTTGCCCGATTGATAACCGCCGCCGACACCTATAATTTAAAGATAAAAAAATGAAATAGAAAAAATACATAATTAAGTTATGGGTACATATACAAACAATATATTATTAAACTAAATTTACACACATACATATTCCTAACAGAAGTGCACAGATATTCACAATTTTGAACCAAAAATATATTACTAATTTTTGTTTTTAATTTTGACCGTTTTTTGTTAGAGTTTATTCTTTGCCAATTGAATTGAATTGTTGCATTAGTTTTTATATTGATTTTAATTGTTTATACTACCTCCTTTGGGACCTCCTCTAGGTCCACCGGTACCACGACCACCACCACCTCCTGCACCATAACCGCCGCTACCACCATAGCCATCATAACCTCCAGCATAGCCATAGTCTTTTATTTGATTGTTTTTTATGTGGAAGGTGTTGTGAATAATTGTAATTACATTTTTTTACAATTCGTTTATATATTATTTGTTTTTTTTTTTTTTTTTTTTTTAACAGTTATGTTTGGTATATATTTTTAAACGTTCATTTGCGTATTTTTGGTGAAATGACACAAGAAAAAAGCAAGAATAAAACAAATCATAAATAACTTGTGTATATAATAAACACTCATCTACTTTATGGATTAAAATCTACATTCATCTGTTAACGTATGTATGTTTTTGTGTAAACAGTGTGTGCAAATAAATTCGGTCAAAATTATTGTTTATTTAATATTATATATTCTATGCGCCTGCATATATGGTGAATGGTGAGATATCATTAAAACACAAATTTGTTGTTTAAAACCAATTACAGGAAATAAGTTTACGTATTGTATATAATTTATTTTTAAGCTAGAGAGAAGTGTATTTTGATACTCCAAATTATAAATAATTAGCTGCAAACTTTGTAACACCATAACCGTTTGTTTACTTACCGATAAATAATTTCAAATTATTAAAAATATTTTTTTTAATTCGTATACAGAATTCTAGGCAAAAATCAAATGCAATTCAAGAGTTTATCATTTTTAGCATATAAAGTTTTATAATTTTAAGTTAAGCGCTGTTATTTGTATTAAACAAATAAATACAGGGCGGAGAAATTGAATGAGGAACTATACACTTGATTGTGTTTTCCAAAACAGTTATACAAAATGTATTTTTGGGCAGTATGAGAGAAAAATTGCCATTAGTTTTCAAACGCGACACACTATGCGTCGGGATTTTCTGAAATCTTTGCAGTCATAAAAATTTTGAATTAGGTGAATGGCGAATAACGGTATAAAAGTCATAATGGGTAGGAAAGAAGTAACTTTTGACAGGTGAAACCACACCTTAAAAAATTATTCAAGACGGTTTCTTGGGTCTAGTATAACATTCATATAATGGCACCTTCTTATTTTCTGTGTTTTGAAGATTTAAGCAATACTTAATTGCAATTGAAATGCGCAGCTGTTGTTTTTTGTTTTTTTTATCAATATTTATTTTTTTTCTTCCAGTGGATGCCTTTTAATTTTTTGATAACACTTTGAAAGACCGTCAATCAAATTGGTATTGGGTCTAGTATAACATTCATATAATGGCACCTTCTTATTTTCTGTGTTTTGAAGATTTAAGCAATACTTAATTGCAATTGAAATGCGCAGCTGTTGTTTTTTGTTTTTTTTATCAATATTTATTTTTTTTCTTCCAGTGGATGCCTTTTAATTTTTTGATAACACTTTGAAAGACCGTCAATCAAATTGGTATAACTATCAATTATTTTTCACATATGCATTTGTAAGTTATTTAACACACATATATTGTTATGAGGAAAATAAAGATGAAAATCGCCGCCAAGTATCGTTTTTTTTTTTCTCTAAAGAAAACACATGAGAAACCAGAGACAATGATGTTTTATAAATGTTTTTTTTTTTTTTTTTACTTTTATTTGCTCTTTTTGTTTGTAAATACATACACATATAAGACTAATTATAATAATTATAAAGGCATAGTTGTTTTGATGCGGTATAATATAAAAAACAATAAAAGATGGAAGTTTAAAAAACCTGTTGGTCTTGATATAATTTTCTCTGTAGTTTTTTTTTAACATTTGTAGTGTCAAATTTAAACAATGTTTAAAATGGGGGGCGCAAAGCGACGCTGCTCTTCAAGAAAAACTAGTGTTGTTTCCTTCTGTTAAAATAATTGCATATCTCTCTCTTTTAAAATTTTATTTAAAGAATATTATGTTGCAATTAATTGTTCTCATGCTTTCTCAATGTATTCAACAAAATTAACTTGTGATTTTTTACCTTATTTTCCCACACAACAATTTTAGCGTATTGTCTTTCACAATTTTGATTTTCATGGAAAACAATGTATAGCCCTTTAATGGTTGGACTCAATTATTTTCCATTGACATGCTAATTCTTTGTGTGTTTTAATGTCTCACCTCACCATATATGTATATGTGTGTAATAATTTATTGATTCATTCAACAAAGAGTAGTTTTGGATATATTTGAATACAATTCAGAATTGCAGATATTATGATTATTCAGATTTCCGATTTTGTTATAAAATTAAAGGTGTGTATTATTATAAAAAATCTTCATTTATTTGATTTCAGAAAAACAAAAACAAATTACCTTTAAAAGTTGAATAGAGTATTAAAAATTAAAATTAGAAATTTCTTGTATTATGATTTGTTCGCAAAATTCGGAAAAACAACTAAATCTAGTTTGGGTTTTAATAGAAAAAAAGAGAAAAATAGTTCAAGACAAAAATTAATTTTTAAAACTACAACATAACAAAGTTAAACTAAAAATTACTATTAAAAATTAATTACCAAAAAAAATTAACCACAAAACCAGGTTAAATGTATTAAAAATTTAAAAAAAAATTGAACTTATTTTTATATAAAAACAAAACGTTGTGGATATTATCCAAGGGGAAATATATAATAAAATGGTGTATTGTGAGGCGAAACATTTGAAAATTCGGCATTACAATATTTTTTATATTTTTTAAATAAAGGTATGATAAAATGTTACAATATATTATTAAAATAAAGCAAAAAACAAAAACTACGACAGAATATCCAACTTTTTTTCTTTTCTGCGAAACTATCAAGTTTTTGCTTAAAACTTTTAACTTAAATTTAAAAAAAGGATTGATTTTTTGAATAGTAAAACAGTGAGAGAAACATGCAAGAGGGATTATGGTTAAAATGACTTTACTTTTTTCAAATATATAATATAAAATAGTGTTACATAATAATATAAACATAAAATTTTAAAATTTAATTAAAACAAATTGTTATTATCAAATCATTCTATGTGATCAAATATATAAAAAGAACAATTTTTTATGAAAAATTACATATATTTATGTTATGCTACAAAAACAACAATCCATAAACACAAAAGTATAAATTTTTTTTTTATATTGCTTCATTGTTTTTTTTTTTTATTTCCTGTTTTGTGTTTTTGGACTGTTAGCAAAAAAATGTAATTTTTATAAAAAAAGTTTATTAAATATATATGTTTCAAATCTTATTAAAATGTATTTAATAAACAAATATTTTATTGGTGTTTGTTTCAAAATTGACGAAGTGTGTATTTTTAGCTTTAAACAATAGAAAACGTAAACGCCGCATTTACGCATATTAAAAAAGGTATTATTTGCTGGACCATAAAAATATTTGCTTTAATTGAATTTATATGTTTAATGGAAAAAGTTCTCATAATATATGTGTTTTTTCGTATAATTTTCGTCCTTTAGCAAATAAAAGGTTACTATTTACTATGTTTTTCCTTTAGAAACTCCTGTCTGTTACTTCCCTATGGTAGAGACCTGAAAGACTTTTGTTAGAAAAAAATGTAGGATATTTGTTGAGATCGTAATGCTATAACAATAATTATACACACGTATTGCACTAAAAAGCGGTAACATCATACAATAGATCCTTGCACTTTCTAAACAAACGTTTATTTATTATATAGCAGCCTCAAAACGGGAATGAAAAACTCTGGGGTCTTCTATGGAAAATGATAAAAATGTATAATTGTGTGTGTGTGTAAAGTGGAATTGGGGAAATATTCAACTAATCTTGTGGAAGTTGTAATGCTTGGCCTAGATGCACTCAGAGGCCTTCAAAATGCTAAAAACAATTTTGCAAAAAGCCAATCCCACGTTACAATGATAATGGTAAAACGACAACGCTTCTCATGTGTATAAATTTCCTCTCTGAATGCATATTAAAAACATATGCATCATTTATCCAATCAATCATCTACTAAGATTATAAATATGTCCTATTAAAAATAGAAATTGTTATAAAAAATTATAACACTTTTTCTATACAATATATAATAGTGACCACAAAAAGTGATACACAAAAAGGCTTGATTTTTGATTTGGCTTAAAGCCAAACATATGTTGTTAATAAATATATATTCATAAAAATAAATAAACTCTATGTATATTAGGGGTTTTTTGGGTAGATACATATGTTAGAACTTTCAAGAGACATAATTATTGAATACAAAAATATATTCAAATGGAATTCAAATTCACCACAAAACTAATAGTGGTCGACACTGTAATCAACCCATCTAATTTTTGCAGTAGCCATGGTCTGGTTGAGACACCGCATCGGTCTATGCATCTCTTGAGTGTCGAAAAATCATCATAACTTTTATGTTCAGTGGTTTTTGATATAATTCCAAATTTTCCCTCAATACAAAATATTTACGGAAGAAAATATGCGAAACGTAGAATAAAAATGCATTTATTTAGAGACCTGTTACAAATTTGTCCTTTGCTTGTCTTTTCTATGTGTAGCCATAACGAGAAACAGGCCTATAATACATTTGTCATTCCCACCTATCACAAATGCACATTCTATTTGTATGTATCGGTTTGGTATTTTCGTCCAACATAAAAAGAACCCGGCGTTATTGTTTCCTTGTAATTTTGGCTTGGCCCTGAAAAATCAGTTCATTATTTATGAAGCCCTATTCATAGTATCTAACAAATTTGTAATGTTTCATATATCTAGGTGAGTGTATGTTGTATATATACATATATACTTAATAAAAAGGCAACATATAAGCATCTACGGAAATATGTTTGGCACTATGAGGTATATGATGTTTATAATCCTTTGTACACCACCATAAAGTGTAAATACATTATGAATGTTTGATCAAAATTTCTATTTATATCCTTTTTCTCTCTGCCATTCCGACAATTGGCCTTCTCATTACTTTCTTGGGCATGTGGATGTAGGATATATCCCATCCTCAATCGATTTTCTTAATTTAGGATATGGTATTTCTTTTTTGCGTTTGTGTTTATTTTTAAGTTATATTCTTTGTTGATTAATACATCCGTTTGGTTCGTATAATTCAACATTAATGGTAAGTTTTTCTTTATTATTATGTAACACACTATCTTCGTCAGTTTTTGGTTGATGTTCATTTTTTCTTGTTTATCTTTTACGTTAATGTTGGAAATTACGTTCAAGTGATTAGAATTTTTACCAATATTGAAACAAATTTGTTATTTTAAATATTTAAAACAATCAAAAAATATAATTAAAAAATATAAGAAGTAAAAAGTATATAGGTAGTAAGAATATTTATTATATGAAAAAAATGTGTTAAAAATTTTATAATTGCAAAAATAATAATTACGTTTAACTTGTCTAAGATTTGTTTTTGTTTTTCTTGTAAAATCAAACAAATTGTATTAAGAATATAATGTTTTTTATATAAGGCTTTTATATATATATGTATATATATAGATGAACTGTCCTAATCAAATATCAATGAAAATAATAGTAATCATCAGTGGTAGTTCACATAATTTGAACCAGTTCGTATGTAACTATTTCTTACAAATGTCATATATTTTTTTTTTGCTTTTGTGTGTTTTTTTCTTCGGCTTGTCCATTACTATTTTGTGTATTGTTTGAATTTGTGTTAAATTTTTCTTTGTAGGTGGCATGGCTTGGATAATATTAAAATTTGCTTTTAGGGTTGACGTTTTTATTCTTCATTCATTTCTTGTTTATTCTGTACACACTCTCTTTCTTCGTTTTGTTTGTTGATATTATATGCCTAATTTACTTGAATTGCTGATAATTACTATTATTTTTATGATAAGAGGCATTGGGATTGTTATTGTAATAATTAGGATTGGTCTGTGTGTTACTATTATAAGGTGTTTGGTATTTACCGTAGCCATAATCGCTGCCATAGCCATTGTAATAGTAATCGGGATAACCGGCATCATAGCCGTAGTTACCATAAGAAGGGTATGCACCAGGACCACCGGACCATTGGTGGGTATAACCTTTTATGAAAAAAGAAAAAAATCAAGATTCGTTTGTTAAAATTTAAAATGAGAAAGAGTTGATAAAAATAAATAAAAACCAAATTGATTTTTTAAATATTAGAAGTGAAAATTGTTTAAAGTTAGACAACTAAGATTTCCCCGCAAGATTGCAACGCCTTAATAAATTTTCAGAAAAATGTTTTCATGCAGCGAGTTTCTTTCGTTTACTTCGATAACTTCCACGAACTTTTATCCTCTTTTTAACGTGATATTTCCCAATAATATTTCTTAATAAGAATAATAACTTATTTTTATATAAATTATTTGATATTTGAAATAGTCATGAGTAAAGGCATTTAAAACAGGATAATGAGAAAATGACAAAATATATATCAAATTTGTCTTAAAAACTTCTCATTGGGTCTCTATATTTTCCTTAAAAGTTCTCCTGATGTAAAACAGTTAGACTAGTCATATTGCTTAACAAAAGTGTCGTTTATAGATACATAGCAGTTACAAATATCTATGTTGGTAATAAGTAACAAGTGCAAAGAGAAATCTCGTGATTCAAAATGATTTGAACAAATTAAAATGATTTAACAAATTAGGGCCTTTGAGCTATTAAGATTCTGATATACCCATATACAATGTTCGATGTTTACTCACCTCCACGTCCATAACCGCCGCGTCCACCACGGATGCCACCTCGACCGCCACGACCTCCCATCATGATCATTTGATTCTCTGGTTTGGGTGTAGCACGTTTAACATCAACTTCCTTGCCGGAAATTTTTTGTTTTGGTGTCTTCAACAATTCAGTAACAACTTGTTCCGAATCAAAAGTAATAAAACAAAATCCTTTACGTTGTGACTTTTGCTTGTCGAATGGCATCTCAACGTCCACAATCTGCAAAAAAATCACATATAATGATAAGAAAAAATTTAATACATGTAAGGCCAATATGATAAAATACTTACATTGCCAAACTGACTGAAGTATGTTTTAATTTCATCGTCACTGATTTCGGTCGTCAAACCACCAACAAAGATTTTGCCATGACGAGCCTTAGCCTTTTTAGGATCAACCTTTTTGTTGTTAATAACATGTTCACCGGCTTCATTAACCTTGTCAATGGCATCGGTAGATGCAAAGACGATGAAAGCAAAACCACGAGAACGACCAGTTTGTGGATCGGTCTTAACGTTAATACTTTCAATTTCACCAAATTTGCTGAAATGTTCACGTAGTTCCTCTGTGAAAATTAAAAAGTAAAAATAAATTAATTTGCTGCATATAAAAGAAATCTGAGAATGAAAACAATTTTGGTAGATTGATGATTTTCACTTACTTTCTGATGTCTCCCAGCTCAAACCGCCAACAAACAATTTTCTGAAAATTAAAAGTAAAACAGGAAACAATTTTATTAAACACATATGAAAAAGCAAGAATGTAAAATGGATATAATTTAATAATGTGTATAAAAATCACATGTTTTTTCAAAATGTATTTTTTGAAAAATTTACGTTATAACATATTTTCGTATTTAAATTTGTTTACAAAGCACGACAAATTTTCAGCAGAAAACTTACAAAGTTATGAAATTTTAATTAAAATTCATCATTACCAAAAATGTTTTATTTTCAAATAATTTTATTGTTTTACAAGGCGATCAAGAGGAAGAATTGTGACGAGTAACAATTAAATTTATATCAATAATTAATGAGAGATATAATACGAGATTTCTTACGTTATTTTTTATTTACACTAGACGCAAACGGGAGAGAAAGTGAAAAGGCCAAAATTTGATAAAAATCAATATCTAAGATATTCAGTATTTATTGTGTGACGACAAATTACTTGAAATCGTTAAAACACCGCTAATTTATGATTTGTAGATGACTTAATTTTTTGTGTAGAGTTGTTGGTTGAGAGACAAGGCAAGACGACTTTGCGATCAATCGATTCTAAGAGAATTTAAGTATCGGCAAAACAACAAGAACATGAAAAATATACAATATTTTTATTTTAGATAAAACTTTAATCCAATCTTTTATGCATTTCGACAAAATAGAGTTTTGGTGTATTTTATGTATGCTTTACTATGATAAATACCATCGTCTTTCGTGAAGAGGCGTATGATGAAAGCAAGCATTCGTTCGTTGTACCGTTGTTTGTATCCTCTCGCATTGTTGTGCACGCAACTGCCTTCCAGGTATTACTTTTCGATTGTTGGCACACTATCATCAACATCTCTCATTCTCTTATCTTCATCAAAGTCCACTTGTTGCTGTAAGTTTTAAACAAGTCTCCTCACTTAGAAGCTAGAGTAGGTTTGTTATTGGCATATAGTACCTGCCGGAGAGGAACAAGATTAGTTCGCTCAAACAACAGGAAAATAATTTAGTAGTTTATAAATGAGTGTCTGTGTGTGTAATTATAATTGTTGATATAGGTATGGGGGGTGGTAGGTAGGATAAGTACTGAGTATTGGGGATAAAGAACCAGGCTGTGTCAATTTTGTGTATTTTAAATAAATCTTTCTTTTTTGATCGACAAAACGTCTCCTCTGAACAAAATTAATTTTTTTCTGTTCTAATTTTTTTTAATTATTGCTTATCTTAATACTAAACAATGATTGGACATCTTTCTTAAATAGTAACTTTATATGCTTCAAGAACGAGGTAAATGTTATGTTTTGGAAACTACAAAATAAAAAAAAAAAAACCAACAATAATGTTTTGAAAATATTGCTTTATTTGTTAGCATTTTTAATTGCACAGTCAATAAATTAAATACGTAGTTTTATATGCTTAATTACGTTTTATAATAATTTTTATATGCTTATACTGTAAGAATCCACCCAATCACGTATACTTTATTTGAAAAGGGAAAGCTGAACTCAGTATTGTAAAATAATATAGAATAAATTAGATTTAAAATTGTAATATAACATTGAGGTGTGGATAAAGGGAAGTGAATATAATACAAAGGGCAACAATACAGATAGGCATTTTAGGCAAACCTAGTCGTGTAAACAAAACCATGTTAAGTAATGAATTCCAAATCGACAATACGACAAGGGGTCAATAAATGTCTGGTAATATTGTATATTGCATTTCAAATGCAAATATTTGTTAACAAAAGACAATCTGAGAATTATTTTGGGGTTTATATCAAACATAGAAATATTATGCCTATGAGGAAACCAAACATGTTTTGAATTTCGACATAATATAATTTTTGGTAATTGTAAATATCCTTCGTATAATTATTCGAAATTAAAAAAGCATTGCAGATAATAAATATTTCACTCTGTACTGATTTAGACTAGACAATTTTAATTGCGGCTATTTCTATTTTCCCTTTTGAACTTGACTCTCGCATTTGTGCAAGGCAATTTGTTTTCAGAAATTTAGCTTTTTCTGTAGTTGCTGATTACATATTTTATTACAAAATTACTACAAAAAGGATTTGCCAGTACAAGCTATTTTTTTACATTTCCTCTCTGCTAAGCTTGCCTAATGTAAAATCGGAATTGGCATTGAACATAGCAACGTTTCGAATTTGTTCAAGGTTAGGCCACTATTTCAATTATTGTCATACCCATATTTCATACGGCCGAGTTACCAATGTACCCAAGGACCCTAGGTATACCTATTATAAACATTTTTTATTAACTTTTTTTCGGCACAACTTAGTTTCGCATTTGAGTTTTAAGGCGATTTAAGGGAATACAGTATGTTGCTTAACTTTTACACCCCAATCTCATCCTAACGTCAGCACAAGTTCTGAACACACATTTTTATCCAAATGCTACCCCGAAATGCATCGAACGTTTAAATTTTAAAAGTTGAACAAATTCAAAGAAATTCAGACAGTACTCCTTTATGTCAAATGTGTATGTTAACAACAAACAATAATAAAAATGTGAAGGTGTGCAATTGAAAAAATAACATTTGAAAGATTTTTTTATTTTGCTGTGGTTTTATTGGTTCCCTTGAAGATATGGACCTTGCATATTTGGGTAATAGGAAGTACAAAACATTTTACCCTAGTGGAGAAGGTGAGTACATTGTATGTCACGTCGGGTATTAGATGGGCGTGTTGCGGTAATTTTTAAATGTGTGTTCACTTAACTTTACAGCAATGTCCATTGACTTAATTGGTAGACCTTGACTAAATGTTGCATGATAAATCTTCAAGTTTATATATTCTCTTTTTAACATCTTTTGTACTTTTCTTTATATTTTTGATATAACCACAACAGACCTATGTCTCAGAGTGAAATAGCCGCTCCCTCAACAATAACTAGCTGCATCGCCCACTAAAACTAAGGGATAAGCTAAAGTAGAGTTGTCGGAAATAAAATCATAAAAATAACAAAATAAATTAAAATTTTCGGAGATGATTTTTAGATTGATTCAATATCAGTGTATCGAACATTCAGGATGTTAACTATTGAAATCAAGTTGGGATGCAATGCGTAATGGAACCACAGTATCACATGTTTGAGTAAATGTGCTTGAAAATTAAACCAAAATTTCAGATGAAATTATCTATGCTGATTAATTGAATCTACTGACAACAATTTTAATATTATAGCTTGTAAAATCGATTCTTGTAAAAAAAAAAAAAAAACTAAAAAAAACTAACTATTGTTTAGAAAATATGTCTTTAATATTTTGTTGTCCTTGTTAAATTGTTTTTTATTAAATAAGCATTCTCTAATTCGCTATCAATTTGCCAAAACACTGGAAAATATGTACCTTTAATATTTTTGGTAACAAAACATGAACGCTGTTAACAATGTTATTTGGTGTATTTTTATATTGACGCCACATACATACAAAACAAAAAAGTACAGGGGCCGGTGAAAATTAATACACAAACGAAAATGAACACAAAACAAAATTTATGATGGCAAAAGTAAATAACAACAGCAGTGCAAACTAACGAACCGCCATTTTGAGAATCGAACAAATGAATAAAAAAATATACGAAAGAGCGTAGAAAAGGGAATAACACAAAAAATTGCCAAGAAACCAAAGCACGCGTTTCAAAATGAAAGGAATTCTTAACCTCACTTTCTCTATAACACAAACAGCAGCTTTCAGCTAAAAATTCTCTCAAGACAAAAAAAAGGAAAATACAAAACAATATTCATTAATATTAGACTATTTTTCGACGTCAGAAAATGGCGCGATTCCTTTCCATGTTATTCTATTTCTCCCAATTTTTGAAGTACAGTTGTACATTCACGCGCCCATTAAGAGACTGACTCTTCGCTAGAAAAATCACATGAAACCGCAAGTATACATCTATCGAGAGTTCGTACAAATAATGCAATACGACCCCCAATTTTCCATTGTTCTTCTGTGTGGTATCATGTGTACCAATCAAAAAATTTCTGCTAAAAGCTCCCACCGATATTTCTTTACGTAACATATTCGTTTTGGAAGAAAATCAGAAACGCTTTATTACTCAGCGGTATAAACCCGATATATTAGACGTTTTAGTAAATACCTGTCGTCATCGCGTGTAGTATTAGTTGATTCCGTGTTTCCATTGGTGGTACCGGCAGTACCTCCATTTTCTTTTTCGTTATTTGAAGCGCTGACGTCTTGAGAAAAATCTTCGCCATTCATTTCACAATCTTGATTCTTGTTGTCGGCCATTTTTTGTGTGGTATGTGAAAGGTTAATTTAATTTAAAAACAATTTCACTTTATTCTTTAAAAAACACAATATTTCTCTTCCCCAGATTACTTTTTCTTTTACCAACGACACTAGCTAGCCGTATAGCTGATAATTACAATATGGCCGGAAAAGACAGAATAGGGATGCGTAGGTCGACTCTACGCTAATCGACTTTTATCGATTTTTAAAGAAATCCAAACTATGCCTAGAGTACATAATATCGTTAAGCTGAACGCTTAACAAACGTTTACACTTGAAAGTTCGAAAAACAATACATTCACACAAGCTAATTGAAAAAAACCTACTTACTTCACAAAAATATTATGGTAGAAGAATACAGTCAGTCGCATCAACACAACTGCTGGCAAACCAATTTTGAAAAAAAAAATGAAATTAAAAAATATGTCAAAATCGTTAAAATTTTTGAAAAATACATATCATAACAATCTCTGATTGGGGTCGTATAACAAAACTTATAAAAATCTACTTATTTCTCAAAAAAAAAAAAAACATATTAAAAATATTGACATAGCGTCGATGCAACTTCCTGTATTTTTCTACCATGAAAAATATGTTCCAGAACTGCAAGAATTGTTCTAATCCAGTACCTGCAAGAATCTACTATGTTTTCGTGTTTTTCTTTTTATAGTTATTTCTAAAAGTAAATATTGCCAATTTCGGCACAGACTACAAAAGTACATTTTTAGGAGCAAAAGGCATTGTTTTATGGCAAAATGTTTCGATTAAACATTTGATTTAAAACAAAACCAAGTTTTGAATGCATTTAGAATCAAGCAGATAAATCAAGACAATATCCTTGAACATCGTATAAGGGAATAGTCTAAATGGGCTTTTAGAAAGTAGAAGCAAAATAACAACAAATACACAATTCAACAACAACTTAGAAAATTGTTATTGTAAGTAATCCTAATTTCAGAGTTTTGCAACGAAAAAAGGTAAATTAAAAGTTTTTTTGGAATTTAGATTTTTAAATATTCCTAAAATTCTTAATTTTAATGCTTTCATATTCTTATTCTTCATGTTTTCTTGTGAGCTGTTAATCAGCTGCTCCAGCTCCTGCACACATCTACTAGTTTTGCAATTTTCTTCAATATCATAATGGGAAAATCGGTTATCTAGTAAAAACTATTACATTCTTGCAGTTCTATATTCTTGTTCTATGAAAATGTGAAATGAAAAATAACATTTATAAAATTTTTCATTTGACATTTCTTTCCTTTATAAAAGTTTTCATTTCACATTTTCATAGAACAAGAATTGAATTTTAATTGCATAACAACGTTATTTTCTATCATCAGCCAAAAATTCTGAACACTGCAATGACGTAAAATTTTATATTAAAAGTGTATATACCTGATATACTTATATCAAAAGGAAATAATAATAATTTGGCACTAACATTACAGTCGAGTCGAATCATCTAGGTTTTTTTTTTTTTTTTTTTTTGGTTTATTGAAAAGTAATTGTTGGATAGGTACCCGTAGTACCTATATACCAAGACTAGTTTTGCTTACATATTAGTGAATACTTAAGTAACTAAATAATTGAACTAGTTCCATGGTGAATATGACATATGACATCATTTTTGTTTACAATTCAATTTTGGCTGAAGTAATGAAATTACAGAGTTCCTTGATGACGGTGTTTGTTCTAGGTTTTGCTGCTTCCTTCTAACAATCACCATGAACATTCACATGAATGAATGGGCTTAACTTTTGATTCGATAACATAAGGCGAATTTTATGTCACGATGTTATATTCCTTTTTTCCCTTTGAAGTTTGCTTCAAAAATTGAGATATTGCCATGTCTTTAAATGTTTTGTCTCGCAGCTAACATCATTAATTTCCGCCCCGTCAATACGCTTCTCTCATTCGATTTAATATATTCATCCTTTTCTAACAACATCAAAGAAAAAGAAAAAAAGAGTTCATTTTCAACACTTCAATTTCAACGCTAAACTTGCAATTATTTTTCGCATATAAAAACAAAAAAGCACTGCACTTACACATAAAATATTAAAAAAAATTGAACAAAACTGTGATTTCCAAAAGAATAGCATAAATTGTGTATAAACACAATTCCTAGAAGACAAAATTGAAATTGAACAGCCGACAGAGGAGTACATAAATACAAAGCGCGAATAAAATTCTTTTCTTTTGCCACAAAGAGAAAAAACGTAGAATTGCAAAAAATACACAAAAAAGAAGAAGAGTAGTAGCAGAAGCAGCAGACGAAGGCGAAACCACACTACATTGGATGGACGCAAAGAAGTGAAGGGGAAATAAAAGAAAAAAGTAACGCCAAAAATAAAAATAATTTCTATTTTTTTAATAAGATTACAAAATTCGTTTGAAAACAATTAACGAAACTAAAACATAGCTTTTAAATTATCTTGCAAAAGAAACAAAATCAAGTAAACGACGGGGGCATTTATCATCACTTTGGTTAGCTAGCTGTGTGTGTCGAAAGGGCGAAATAAAAAGCAACTGGAAAAATCTTTGGACACAACATCCTTTAACTATCTACCATCCAAATATAAAAAATTGCAGCCTTAGCATTTCTCCCCCAACAAAACGAAGAATCTTAAAAAAAAACAAGCAATAATACAACAAAGTGCTTTATTTAACTGGATATTGGTAAGAAAGTATTTTGTGTGTTTCTTTTTCCACCATATGTATTTACGGGACTGGCCGCTTAAGAAAGCCATGCGGCACTTGTTTCCTTTGTTGTAATTGTGTGATTTTCATACATTTTGCAGAAATTTAAAGTAAATTTTTTCCGGCTAAACCTAACCTAAAATCGGTAATTCAACTGTTTGTTGTAGTCTAACAAAAACGTATTTTGGATTTCTCTTTGTCTTCATTCGTTATATTTTTATGTTATATTCCCTTTAACTTATAAAAGTTAAAAAAAACTACAAAAAATTTGGTGGGAGCCATTTGCGTGATTTTTCTTTCTGTTTTTTTTTTTTTTGGCTTGTCTTTTGTTGTTGTTTCATATGTGTGTTTCTATTTCAATTTTTGTAGCCAATTATATCAACCGGTGCGCCGTCGCCTTTTGAGGTTGAACAGTGACCTTCTAAGGCGTGCTTTTGAAACTAGAATTTTTTTTAAAAGTTGGATCTATTACATCTCTTTTGGATTTGTTATGTATGGGAAAATCAAGAGTCAGTCCCTGGTAATTTTGTGAAGTTTACCAGAAATGGTAAAGGACCATACTTGCCATCATAAATTAATTTGAAATAGATAGGTATCATTTTTGTCTCAGTTTTTTAGCACAAAGAAAAGCAATATCAGTATAATATCGAATCCCTTGAGAAATGCTTATTCTTTCTCGTACAACGTAAACATGAGTTTAAGTTTGATTTAGGCAGAAATGTCTTTCCCTCTTGAATAAACAAACTTATCTGTTTATTGCATACCTTAATTCCCCAAATATGTATATACGAACTTTCCTGAAATCACTTTTTCTTTGACTTCTTTCTACTTTTGATGACCACAGCGAAAATATAATAAAATGAACGACTCTTTGGTATGTTCTGAATAAAATAAGATTTATTATTGCATTATTCCTTTGGAACTATACATTGGGCTGCAATAATATATTCCTTTTTAATAATGTAAAGTGAGGTTAAATATTACTTTTACCCCTTGTTTGGACAAGGAAATTGTAGAATCAAACAAAACCATAAATTGGTTTTCTCAGCATTTTTTTATGTTCGTACCAATAAGGTATGCAATAAACAGATTAGTTTGTTTGTAGGATTAAATTACAGTGAATTCTGACTGAATTCTCCCTATTTCACAAAATTAAATTGAGTGTGAAATGCTCTGAAAAATATTAAGTTACATATTACTAAGTGTTATAATCAATAAAGTATTTTTTAAAATCCAGTCAAAATCCATTTCCTTTTTTATTAATGATCCTTTTCCATACCAAAACTTTATTTTTTGAAGAACTAAATACGTATTACATGTCTTATTTTATATTTTCAGTATAGCTTATGATCCCAATATAATAGGGGAAAAACATTAATCTCGTTCATATACTTATTCGCTTAACAATAATATTACTTTTTTACTTTTTTAGTGTCAAAAAATTGAATCGTCAACGGATGATCAAGTAATTTTTAAACAATTGTAATAGAAAAAGTACACGTTATCACCAAGTTCTTCATTGAAAAGTTGCTATTTGGCGCTATTTTTTAATCAATTTTCACAATAAGCAAAAACAAAAATACACTTACTACCACCAAAAATTAAGACTGTAGTACAAGTCTGTGTAAGCGAGATACAACAAAACGAAATGGTAATGGATGCAACTCAACCCCAACAACCATCGCCACAATCGGTTGGACGTGAATTTGTCCGTCAGTACTATACATTGTTGAATAAGGCTCCAAATCATTTACACCGTTTCTACACTAACAATTCTTCGTTTATACATGGAGAATCAACTCTTGTTGTTGGTCAGAAGAATATTCACAATCGAATCCAACAATTAAACTTTCACGATTGTCATGCTAAAATCAGTCAAGTAGATGCTCAGGCTACGCTGGGCAATGGTGTTGTTGTTCAAGTTACCGGAGAATTGTCTAATGATGGCCAGCCAATGCGTCGTTTCACCCAAACTTTTGTTTTGGCAGCCCAGTCACCTAAGAATTATTATGTGCACAACGATATCTTCCGTTATCAAGACATGTACTCGGATGAAGAGGCCGATGGCGAATCTCGTTCTGAAAATGACGAAGAACATGACCAACAGCAACAGTTGCCCCCGCAAGTGCAAACCGTTGTTGCAACAAACGCTACTAACGACCAGTCTGGTCAAGCTGTGAATACTACAAACGAACAGCAACCACTGGCGGGCCAGGTTTTGTCTGGCGGCACTGGAGGAGGCGTATTGCCACAGCAACCAACACCTCCTGTTTACTACTCGTTGCCAACTGCAAGTGGTCGCCCTATTACAGTTTTGCAACCTGCTACCGGTGTAGCTCCTGTTCCAATGGCTGCGACAAATTTCACTAATGCTACCGGCGTTCCACCACAACAACAGACTGTGCAAACTAATGCTGGTGGAGTTGCTCAGCAGTTAAATGGAGTTGTTTCCCATG